TTTTTTTTTGTTTTTGTTTTTGTTTTGGTGGGGAGGTCGTTTTGAGAGTTGGTAAAATTTATCCTGCCTTTGAGAGAGTGGGGGGTGGGCGTGTACAGCAAAGTCACAGGGTAAAAATGAGCACATTTAGGGAAAGCTGACCTCAGATAGCTGAGTCTCAGCCCACAAGCCTCGAATATGTATACTGTATATCATCACACACACACACACACACACACACACACACACACACACACACACACACACACACACCTGCGAGTGGAGGGCAAGTCCTTCCCCCCGCCCTGAATTTTCACAAGGTTTCTAGATATGTAACACCAATGTATCAAACAAACATCGGTTAAGTGCGCTGCATTAAGTATATTGCATTAACAACGCGGGTCGACAACTTTTCCTGCAGGGAAAGGGAAAACTCTAGGTACTGTATTTTAGGACCGGGCGCTGGGCTGAGTCTACTCCTGAGCGTGCAGGTGAGTGGCTTGTTCTACTCACCATCCGCATCAAAGCGCTGCCAGACGTGCCAGAAGCCAGCGGCGTCCAAGCGTCCCCGAGTCGGTCCGCGGGCGCTGTCCATGGTGCTGAGCACGAAGCCAGGCGCCGGCGCGCTACGACCTCGACAACTTTGCTAGGGACTCCCTTACGATATTACCTGACTCCCTCGCCCGCTTCTTTCACTCTCCGATTCGCTTTGGGTACCTGTCTGTGGAGCGGGCTCGAAGGCAGCTGGCGAGGCGGCCGGTGGCGCCGTGTCGTCGCCGAGCAGTCCCCCAGCCCCGACCGCGGGCTCTCGACGACAGCAGCGGCTCGGAGCCCGCCCCGCTCCAGGCGCGTCGGTGCCCGCCCCGCCCCGCGCGTGGTCCTGGCAGATCCGCAGGGGAGCTCGGTCTGTCTCAGCGCTGTGGGGGATTCGGGAAGACAGGGGCTGTCCCCGGGCGGCCACGGCTCGCTGCCTTTGCCCTTTAACTTGTTTGTCAAACTCAGAGAAAACATCTGCCTTACGTTTGACTCACCTTCCAAACTTGTGACTCAAGAAGTTTTTTTTAGAGAGTTGCCCATTTAAAGGGTTGGAACAGATGTCAGTGTTAGGGCCCTTTGGACCTGAGATTTAGAAACGTAGTGTGGGGATAGGGGAGATGTCAAGGGAGACAGCGGTAGTGCGCAGAGGTCACTATTAAACAAGGAGTCAGTCAACAGTAATTGTTAAGCCCCAATTGTATAGGACATACACATTGCTGAACCATAATGCACTAAAAGGACTTGCAACTAAATAGACATACTGCAAGGCACTGTGGTGTAAAGTGGTATCGTTAAGATGGTGAGGTACATACACACTAAGCCATACTCTGCCAGGAAAAGAGAGTCTGGGGGAGACGTAGTGGCTGAATGCAGAATTCCTAGGCTTAGATGATTGTGTTTGTCTCCCAGGAACCACTTTAAGACAAAAGGATAAAAATCATTTGGAGGAACAGAGCTTTCTAATGATCAGAGCTGTTCAAAATTTGACTGGATGCTTGGTGAAAGTGAACAAACTATATATATGGCTTTTGACTATATTCTTAGAACGTTTTGTTGCAGAATCTATAAAAGGAGCTGGGGCATTTGACAAGAGAGTTGAACCAGATATAGATCTTCTTTATGGCACTCTGACTCTTATTAACATTCAAAAGCACACATACATAAGCCATCTAAACTAGAGTAGTAAAAACAACCCGACACTCAGGGACAGATAGTTCTGGGTCAGGATTCCAGCTCCATCATTTACTGGCTTTGTGACTTGAACTTTAGTTTTTATCTCTAGCCTCAGTTTTGTTTTTTAGGCTTTTTTTTATTGGTTATGAACATTCATGAGATACAAAGCTGATTGTCATCCCTTGTGCCCATGATGTGAGGGTCAGATTCATACTGGCAGCATACCCATTACCACATATTGCATTTGTACCCCATATCCCCCACTCAATTATCCCCAACCTCCCTCTCCCTCCTCTTCTCCCCCCCAACTCCACTTTGTAGCCCAAGGAATGTTCTCTCTTTCTGCAAGTCCAATGCACTGCTGTGGTCTTTCTTTCTTTCTTTCTCTCTTAGCTCCCACATATGAGTACATGTTAGACTGGCTATAATCAAAAAGACAGTGAATAACAAATGCTGGCAAAGGTGTGGAGAGAAGGGGACACTCCTGCACCGTTGGTGGGACCGTAAATTAGTACAACCACTATGGAAAACAATATGGAGGTTTCTCAAACA